CACAGCTAATGAAACAGCATGGTCCCAGGTGACTCTCAAAACAAGGGCATTGGTGTGCTGCTGTCAGATTAATTTTCCCAGCTTACTAAGAATATAATATAAGAGTAAAAGGAACTATTGTTGTCTTTTGTAATGTTTCTGTCTGTCACACACTTTTATGAACTTACTTTATTAAATTTCAACAATCATTGACTTAATCCTAATATATACATGTGTGCTTGTAATGTTGTTTGTGTGCCTTTTGCCTCTATTTTTAAATTACATTTTCTTTAATATCAGAATTATAGGCGCCTAAAACTGTACGTGCTACCACTTTTAATCCTGACAATCTCAAAGGTACATAGGAGGTAAGAGAGTCTGGGTGATATTGATTAAATTAATTTCACAAGGATTATCAGAGCTTGAAATTGGTACTACATGTCACTGGAATAAGACCCTATAATAAAAACAATACAGTATTAATATTTTGTATGTGTATGTATCTGAAATAACAGGTCTGGATGACTTAAGACTTTTATTTATTCCACAATGACCCCTCAATCTGTACTTAGATGATTGTCCAACCTGTGGCCAGTCAGATTTCCATGTTGAAGTAAATATGAGTTAATATAAACAATTAAAACCACAAGGCCAGATTTTGATGATCCCCCCCCCCCCCCCCCCCCACACACACACACACACACACACACAAACAAACAAACACAGGTCCTACACTACACAACATCCAGCAGTGACATACCGCGGGAGAAAGTGAGGTACATCTCTGTCTAATGGCTGAAAAAAGAGGGAACAATAAATTCATTTAACTCTCTTAGGTCAAAGCATTCTTGCATTAAGCTCATCTACAGTGACTGCACTCTCATTAACAACTGGGCTGGTGACTAGATTCTATCCAAGAGTAGCAGCACACATAAATAATAATCATAGGCTCATGATAATAAAATTTAGGACCTCCAATGATTGACTACGATAAATAAGCACAGCGGTCTAACGTAACTTTCCAGAATGATATAATAATAAAAACGTTTTTGTAGATATGAATGCGTAATAGACATGTAACATAAATCACATTAAGCTCTGCTGTCTGTTTTGTTTTGTCCTACGAGTTGTCAGGTCCGGTTTCGCTGGGATTTGTAACAAAACCAAACCTCATTTAAAAATGTGTCGAAAGGGTTCACTAAGCCTACCTCGTAAAAAAAAACTCAAGGCTATACTGTCTGTAGCCTACTCTGCTAAAAAAAAACAACAACAACAAAAAACAAACAAACCAGAATCTATGAATATGCAAATACGCCTAGATTATTCTTTTGAAAGGTTTAAACATTTTTTAGTAATTAACTCGGAGGCTTCACTCACCCTCCAGTCTCGGCTCCTGAATCCACGCAGTCATCTTCTGCTGAGGTTTTCTCCATCTCAAAGGGTAGGCTGAACAACATTTAGCTGCATCGTTTCAAAGCGCAGAGGGAACGAATAAAACAGGGGATTTTTAAAACACAGTACGGCTGAGACCCGCCGGTTACATGAACTAGTAGACAGTTTAGTGTGAGCTGGGTTTCTAACTCCTCACTTACAATGGGGTGTCTGCTTAACTAGTTGGGAGCAACAGGCGACTGACTCTGTTTTTACTGAGTCAGCTGGGCTCTCAGATGATGCCTTCTGGAGCCGTCGGAAATCTGACAACTACAAATGAACCGCGCATGAGCGAGATTTGTAGTTACTATGGGAGTTTGATTTTGACGTTTTTTTAACGTTTTAACGTTTCTTATTCATAATTATGAGATAATAAGTCATAATGCTGCACTCTGTACTAAAATCTGTAGCCCTTTTTATATACAGTCTATGGGAAAGCTTTTCACAGCCTACTGATTATAATACAAATAGTTCCCTTAAGTAAATAAATGGTAATTATAAAAAACAGAAATAATTCTGCCATCCCAAAATGAGGTGATATTTGTGTTATTTTCAAACAGCAGTCTCGCCGTTAACGTTCATTCTTACTACACAAAGGGATTTAAAGGGTGTGGAGTAAGTAATAAGTTTTGCCAGTATTTCTCTGGCAATCTTCTTCAACTGTAATAAAAAGTTATGTTAAACTCTGCCACATGAAGAATCAATTAGGCTAAATAGGGCGGGCAGGAGTGAGACTGTTTCGCGTTTAATGTTGCTTTATATTTTGCAGCACATGAAGGTAACATTAGCATGTGTGCTACTTTGGCTCCATCAACAGGGTGAATGAGGTAATGCAGCATGTCTGTCCACCAGAATCAACCCAGGCAAGCAGAGAAGAAGGTGTGGTGTATTGTATTACCTGCAAGCTGCAAACAATGCCGTTTCTGTTCATGAATGAAACCACACACCTGCTTGAAGACCCGACTTGTAAAAAGAACTATGGTTTCATTGTCTTGAATTAAATTTGATTAACACCACACTTTAAAGAGGTAGCCATAATTTGTTCAACAGACAAATTACAGAATTTATTACTATTCTTATTTTTATATGTCATGAAATGTGTGTTACTATGTTAAACATTACAGCTTGTGTAAAAGTGTGTGCTGGAAAGCTATATGAAAAAAATAATTAGCTTACTGAAAATGATTGATGGGGAAAGTATAGGCATCATTGTTGGTGGGCTGTCATAGTGATAATAGATTAAAGGAATGTAGTAAAGCCTAACGGTTGTAGATTAATGGGAATTAACTTTGATTTTCTTATTGTTATTACAGTTGACAGCTGCGGCTGAATGAAAATAAATAGCTGATAATGAATTCTTAAGTTGAGCCATTTGAATATCTTTTATTATTAAGAGTCCTATAATATTAATAACTATAGCCCCCATCTTCACACAAATCACTGGAGCGGTGTGACGTTCCCTGCTGCTTTAAATACTCCACAATCATCCCGTTCCCCAAAAAACCCTCTATCTCTGGATTAAATGACAGCAGGCCTGTCGTCCTGATATCTGTATTCTTGAAGTCCTTTGAAAGACTGGTGTTGGTCCACCTGAAGGACATTACAGGCCCCCTGCTGGACCCCCTGCAGTTTGCCTAAAGGGCTAACAGGTCAGTGGATGATGCAGTCAACTTGGGACTGCATTACATCCTGCAACACCTCGACTCTCCAGGGACTTGTGCAAGGATCTTCTTCTTCTTCTTCTTCATTCTTCCATTCCATATTTATATATTTCTACATTTATTTATGTAAACTGTATGTTTGTCTACGTGTAGCATCTTATCACCACAGCAAATTCCTCGTATGTGTAAAACACTACTTGGCAATAAAGCTCCTTCTGATTCTGATTCTGATTCTGATTCTTCTGTTCGTGGACTTCAGCTCGGCGTTCAACACCATCATCCCAGACATCCTCAGCACCAAACTCACCCAGCTCTCTGTGCCAGCCTCCACCTGTCAGTGGATCACAGACTTCCTGACTGACAGGAGTCAGCAGGTGAGGCTGGGGAACATCACATCCAGCACCCAGACTATTAGCACTGGCGCCCCCCAGGGGTGTGTGCTCTTCCCACTGCTCTTCTCCCTCTACACCAACGACTGCACCTCAGGGGACGCATCTGTCAAAACTGAAGTTTGCTGACGACACAGCGATCATCGGCCTCATCCGGGAGTCCAGATTCCAGAGTCAGGAAATGGGCAGGAAACATCAATGCAGATCCATCTCACCCAGGACACAACCTGTTCCAGCTCCTCCCCTCTGGTAGGCGCTTCAGAGCACTGTACGCCAAAACCAACAGACTCAGGAACAGTTTCTTCCCACAAGCCATCACTCTGATGAACTGCTGATTTCTGACTCAGGATCAATTCCTGTGCAATAACCCAGTAACTCTGCCTCTAATCAGCCACCTGTTTACTGGTCACCACTTATTATTTATTCATCATTCTCTATTTCAGTGCTGTTCTTGTTCATATTGTCATTTTGTATATTGTATATACTGTATACCAAATCCACCTACCTCAAGTACATAACACCTGCACATAATGCTTATTTATTCCAGCATCCTTTGCTCCATCACACTGTGTCCATGTATACATGTATGTCTACCTGTATATCACATCCACCTCTGACATATACATAATAGTAATTATTATGATAATAATAATTTACTCCTGCATCCTTTGCACTCTCCTCAGTGCACTATTGTCTCAATCAGTCTATACTGTTTTTGTTTCTGTTTATAGTGTGTATTTATTGTGTTCTCTATACTGTAGCCTGTGTCTGATTTTATTTTATCTTATTTTATAATTGTATTAATGTATAAGTAAGCACATCGTAAGCATTGTACAATCTTGAGTCAAATTCCTCGTACGAGTACATATACCTGGCAATAAAAGCAGATTCTGATTCTGATTCTGACTGATTCTGAGTGTCATTGTTTACATACAAGATAGTCAAAATGTTTAGCTATGTTGTCAGTATAACAATGTAGGCTACTCTGTAGATATTTTCTGAGTAACCTATGGCACAAGGCTGCACTTTTTCTGTATGGCATATAGGCCTATATCAGTTTTCAGTAGCACAAAATTACACTGCAAGAGATTGGATTCCCTTTTCCTGTATGTACTGTAATCTGTCAACAGAGCATGTCAATGTGATGCAGAAAAGAAAAAAAGACTGGACTGTTTTACAGCACTGCATAGCACAACAGAAAAACAAAAAACAAAATAAGAAATGTAAACACCCCTTAGGCTGAAGTTGTCAGCCTCAGATTCTTGCATTCTGCATGTAGTGATTTGTACAATGAACTTATTGCTAGATGTTTTGGGGGGTAAGACTATTCAACAGAGCACCAGTAGAGTATAATAGGCCTACATTGTGATCAACATGAAATAAGCAATTGATAATTTAGATAATTATACATAATCATTTGGATAAACGCGTCAAAACATTTGCAGTTCGTTCAAAAAGAATGAGAAATTGCTTTTACTGGAGAGACTTTTTTTTTGTTTTTACTGGAGAGACACCGACGTGACGTTGGAAGGGATGACGTCATCGCCACGCGCCACACGAAGCACGGAGTCGGTTCTCGAGCACGTTGATGTTTTTTATGATTTAGCTGCAAACGGCTCATTATCTGCATCACCCGGACAGCCTGACTCTGATCAGAAATGTCTGTGACCGAGATGTTCAGTTATATTCAGGGCTTCCTGAGCGCCGACCAGGACGTCAGAGAGGTATGAATGAGCAGCAGCACGACAGCTGCAGCGCTGCAGCCAGCATTAGCTCTCAGAGACAGTTAGCTAGCTAGTTAGCAGCTAACTGTCTCAGTTAACGGAAGGATATACTGGGCACATCGAGACATGAGCTTTTTTTGTGCCTGTGATCCACTTAAAGTGTGTGATTTTGGGGGGGTGGGGTAGAATAGTTGTTAATAGAAGATACGTTAAATTGAATTTATGGCTGGGAGATATGGCCAAAAATGTTATCACGATAAACAAAAAATCATAGTCGATATCGATAATTATTACAATTAATGTCAAATCATTATTCTGTTCAAATTTAAACGCTTATATTTGTTCCTGAGTCAAAGTTGAAGAAACTAGATGGTTAATTGTGGAAATACTTGATGCCAGTGGATCACTCAATAAATCTGATGTAGAACATTCATTCAGAACAATGATGACGGAAATCTGAAAATTAAGTGCTAATTCGTTCGTGATTCAAATGAATTAAATCAATCATTTCTTGAACATTTGTTATATTTTTATTGAGGTAAATTATATCGCAATAATCATCATGATTGTTTTATTGCCTTAATTGAATTATATTCTATTAAAAACACTTACACTTGATGGACTTTGCTGCAGGATATCCGTAAGGTGGTCCAGACATTGGAGCAGACTGCCAGGGAAATACTAACGGTACTCCAGAGTGTCCACCAGCCATCTGGATTCAAAGAAAGTGAGTGTTTGACACAGTATGCCCTGTTTTGACGGGTACTGTATAATGTTTGTCTCTCCAAATGAGACTTTTGATATTAAAAATGAGTCTTATTTTTTATTTTCTCCCATTAGTTCCCAGTAAATGTGCAAAGGCACGGGAGTTGTTCAGCACAGTCAGGACACAAATTGCAGACCTAAAAACAAAATTTCCTGTGGAGCAGTATTACAGGTAGGAACCACTTTTCACAATGTTTGCATTTTTTCTGCTACCTAATTCAGAATTTTAGATTGGATTAATTTCCTTATGCTGAGTATATATAAACCTTTCATCCAACTGTGAAATTGTTGAGCTGGAGCTCAACTTTAAGGCTGTAGCATGAAATAACTGAAAATTTATCTTAAGTCATAGACATAAACATGAAGTGAAATGCTAATCAAATGTGTGTTTGTGTGAGAAGTTACTAAGTGTACTAAACTAAATTTTGTTTTATTCAGGACAGAACAGTTACTTGACCAGCAGACTTACTAACTGTTTTATACATTTATTTTAATTTAAGTACCCAGAACTCCCTAGAAAGCAGAATTAATTGATAAAGGGTGGATATAGATAAAGTGTTTATCTCTCTCTTACCTGTGTGATCCCACTTTAGGTTCCATGAACATTGGCGGTTTGTCCTGCAGCGTTTGGCTTTCTTAGCAGCCTTTGTTGTCTACCTGGAGACTGAAACTCTTGTGGTTCGAGAGGAAGTGGCCCAGATACTCGGCAGTAAGTGTCTAGTCGCCAGTTAGTGTGTAACTCTCACTTAGGAATGCGACTTTACTAAAAAAAATACAATAAAATTCTCTGTACTTTTCACCTTACAGTTGAAGTGGTGCGAGAGAAAGGCTTTCACCTGGATGTGGAGGACTACCTGGCAGGGGTGCTGATCATGGCTAGTGAACTGGTGAGTCTACTGTCGATTACTCTGGTGCACCAACAATATACTCAGGCTAGAACAATGATTCTAACTAGGGATGAAACGGTATGAAAATTTCATATCACGATTATAGTGACCCAAATTATCACAGTTATCAGTATTATTACGCTATTGTAAAAATGTGCCGAAAAATATTAAAGTGTACTGATACACACACTGAAACCATTTCAACAAGTTTTATATTGAAAACTACAAATACTATTATTGCCATTTTGTTTGCATAAAAAATAAAATGCCACCAAATACATTTTGTAAACATGTGAAAATCATCTACGTGTGCATTATCAAGATTTTATGATATAGGTAATACAATGACCCTGTGGACAATTACATGAAAACAAATAAGTCTTTAGAAGACAGTGATGGTAACTGCAATGAGCCCCAAAACTGATAAATACAGAGCAGTCTGTAGCGTTTCTAGATATGCTGGTTGGTTGACTAAACTGCGTAACGTGTCATCATGTGCAGTGGACGAATAGATTCTGCCGACACACAGCAACAGAATGTGTAGCGTCTTTACGAGAGCAGCAACACTGAGAGCTTCAGTTTACACGCTGTTAGCAAGTCAGAGAGACAAACCAAAGTTAAAAGTTAACTCACCCTGCGTTCACTATAAGGTTTTCTTCAATCAAGTTTCCCTCAGCACTCTCTTAAAAACTAAACTACGACCAGACTTCAGAGTGACTGAAAAATCTCCGCAGCTCTGTCTTCCGCCGTCTTGTCATTGACCCAAACGTTGCATTCTGCGCATGCGCGCCTGCTTCTGGGAGACGCTGGACAGTGTTTGCCGTGAGATTATATAATATTAACCGTACCCAGTTATCATGGTAATTAAAATGTGTACGGTAATAATAACTTTTGGGAATTTTACCATGGTTTACCGTTAAACCGGTAATCATTTCATCCCTAATTGTAACTCCGTTGCCTATTAAAATAGAATCATACATCAGGGTTCCCCTTTGTCCTGGAACTCTTTAAGGGCCCCCTATACACTGCATGTTTGTGCTGTAGCAGATCAAAGTTGAAAGTCATGAGAGAAACATGGTGAAATATCTGGTTGTGAAACCACAACAGTGGTCTTAGAGCACACTGTGAGACATGTCCACCGACGTATGACCTAGAACTCTGGTGACCAAAGACCTGTCAGATATCAAGGACAAAACTCTCACAATTTAACGGCTGTTATTTCAAGCGCTTGATCTGTGCTGTTGTTTCTTCCTCCAGTCACGGTTGGCTGTAAACAGTGTCACAGCAGGAGACTACACCCGGCCGCTCCGCATCTCCAACTTCATCAACGAGCTGGACTCAGGCTTCCGCCTGCTCAACCTGAAGAATGACCCGCTGCGGAAGCGCTACGACGGCCTCAAGTATGACGTGAAGAAGATCGAGGAGGTGGTTTATGACCTGTCAATTCGCGGCCTGGCCAAGGAGCCAGAGTCTGGCATGGACAAGTAGAGCTGAGAGGTGTTGAATGGCTGTAGGAGACGGAGGAGAAGGAGGAGGGACCTCTCCACGGCTGCTGCACCTTACCCCACTGGGAAGGCAAAACCCAGGGATCCACCTGAGGCCCCAGCAGCTGAAGACAGACTGTGTGAGTGTGTGTTTGTGCGAATGCATGCGTGAGAAGTGCTTTAGATGGATGGCAGTCTGTCAGAAGGGTGGCAGAGACGACGACTGAGCTTGGCACCCTTGTTCAGTGGCTTTAGATTGAAAGGTTCAGTTTGTTGCTGGTTTTCAGAAATCTCAGCTTCATCTGATGTTATTGTTTCACTGAGTTTGTTTTGCAACTGTTTGATCTAATTTGCCACAGTCACCTTCAGTTACATTATATTGATGTTTAATTCATTGGAAAAGATAGGCGGAGATCAGAGTGGAGTGTCCCATCCATGCAGAGCTTATTTTTTGTCGATGTTTGTGATGTTTAGTTGCAAAAAAAAAAAAACAAGAACTGTGTTTGTGTTGTTCACCAGATGAGTCCACGCCTGGTGGCATTTCTTAGGACTGAATTATTGTCAAAAAAAATACAGCAATCCAGGAGCCTCATTTATGTGGGAATATTTTTGCAACAATCAGACGAGTAAATCAAGAGTCCAAAAATACAGAAGGCAGTAATAACCAATGAATGTCTTACAGCATTCTTACCAGATTTTGATCATTTCTTACTTTCATGAAGAAGCCTTTGTTTGGATTTTGATTATTAGCACCTAACCTGCATATACAGCAGCTACCTAATTTTTTTAAAATGAGGCTCCAGGTGGGGTAGAGCCAAAGAAATGATAAAGATGCACTTCATATGACATAAAGCTACTGTGTTTAGTTGGGGGGGGGGGGGGGGAATTTTTTCAACAAACGGTGCCAATAAACATGTCTGTTGAGCCTTTTTAAAATTTTGATTGTCAGGTGAAGCTTTCTCTGGAACTCCATGAGCAAATACAAAGTAGTCAGAATGTCATGTACTGCATGTTAACAGTTTTTCTTGTTTTTTTTTCCACTTAAATGTCTTCGCAGGTTTGTTTCTACTCTCAACATCCACGCTTCTGTTTGCTTCTATACTGTAGTGGAGCTGGATTGTATTTTCTAGAAATGATTCACTTTCACTCTTTTCCATCTTGTGATAAGTGCATTCCACTTGTACTGTATGTATTCATGTCTTTGAATCAGTTGTCCTAAAGATGCTTAAAATTACTGTAAATATATTTCTACATTCTACGTTTGCAGCTTCATCAGATTTTACAAATTTACATATTGCACAGAAAAATACAACAAGCAAGGTTGTGTTTAAAATCTTTTAATATAATTCACAATATATTACATTGGGGAAATAATACATTAGGTCTTTCAAATGCAACACAAAACCAAAAGAAACCATATGCAACTCAGCAGGCTTTGTTTTTTTTATATGTTGAAAGGGTTGAAACCATGTCCTACGACAGCGCACGAGTATTGGTGTGGAGCTGAGCAGCCCTGCCCTCCAAAACACAGTGATTTGCTACCTCTTCTAGTGCTACTTTATATCAAACATGAAACAGTATCAGTCTTAAATAGTGGATTTGGTTTGACTGTATTGCGTTGACCTGCTGAAATCTGCTTCGGTCAACTAGGTTCCTTCTAATATGAATAATTGTGAATAAAAAAAATGACATGTTACACTGGAGAGCATTCTATTACTGAATCATAATAAAGTGCATTAAACAAAAAGCTTTCATAAATGAAAACACACTAAAACAAGAGAGGACCAGGTGATCACTGTCAGAGGAATAATTATATTGCCTGTAAATCGTCCTTAAGTGCCAACAGAGGGCTGTCTAGTCCGGATCCCAGATATAAATGCTACTGTGACATGTTGCAAATATTTCAGTATGTTTTAGCATAACAGTAATCAAGTACCAAGGCACAACAGCTCATCGCTAGGTCACATAACACACAGTTAAAACCATGTCATGACGAGATGGGTGGGATGGGTTTATTTTTTTGAGTCAAATAAAATTGCCTAAATTGTCATGACCTCAGCAGCCAGAGAGATTTCATGGTATGACAATATAAAGATAGCATATATATGTATACTCATTTCAAACCTATTCGAGTTCTTTACAAACTCTCAGTGCTGATATAAGTAAATAGGTTAGTTTGATTGACACAATTTTGATCTCTGAAATGTTTGTACTTGTAAATTAAATAACTAAGCCATTCTTCACTATTTTTGTAGACCGAATGATCAGATTAATTGATAATGCAAATAACTGTTTGTGGCAACCCTACAAATAGATCTATCAAATAATCTGTCCCATGGCCCGATCCGTGCAACCCCACATGGGGTCCCGAACCAAAGGCTGAAAAACTCTGCACTTAACACGTGGGGGGAAACTGTGGTGTTTGACATGATGTTAACACAAAGGAGACTGACTAGACTTCTCACAAACTGCGTTCATGGCACTAACATTATCTTAACTCCAGTGACTGAGTGGGACAGAGACTTCCTTGGTGTAAGGATGATGAAGGGAAGCTTTACCAATGTCAAACATGTTCAGATTTGAGACCTGAATCTGCCACATGACACTAGGTAACAGCGCGCGTTAGAGCAGAATAAAGACCTGAACGCCAAAGGAAATCTTGAGAAATTAAATACATACAGTAGCTACTTATTTTGAAACTGGTAGAGATTATTGCTGTTTTGTGACTTCTCATTTACAGTGATACAGGAGGTATGTTCAGCCTGCTGGGGAGGCTTTGCTCAACTGCATCTCTGGCAGTGAAAGTTGCTCTACCGTCAACATACAGTAGAGGGCGGCACACAGAGAGGTGAGGGCAGTGACGACAGAAACCACTGGACAAAGCTCTTGACCACATTTCCATCTCTTCATACTAAAACAAATGTTTCCCCTTTCGACTGTCTTGTATAAAAAAATTAGATTACAATTTTTGTTTTTGCAATCAGTCATGTTCAGTCATGCTTTCCAACAAACGCACCTTATTTACCTAAACCCTGCTCTTTCTACATGAGCAAACAGTCTTTACAATCAAGGCTGACAAGCCCAAGGTTTTTGGTTGTCCAAGAATCAGATCTTTTGTTAACAACTTAAATCTTCATACACGATTGTATGAAAGTATGTTGCACTTATTGTTTTGTAAGAAAAAAGTGCTAGATCTTTTTCTTACCCTTCCGAGACTTTGAGGAAGATTTTATTTTACTGAAGTCTAACATGTTATAACAGTGGCGTCATTCAAACGTTTCTTGTTGTCAGTTTAGATTTGCTGTACAAGGATTTGGGTTATTTACAGTGTAACAAAGGCTGGGGACAGTTGGTCTCAGGAGCGGGTCTGGTTTGTGTTGATCATGATGTTGGGCAAAGCATTGCGTCTTTTTCTCCAGGTGCCCAAGTCTCGGGCATATCTCTTAATCTGATGGAACCACTGCTGGGTGCGAGATTTGTCCGAGGCTCGGAAAACGAAAGACTCCCGACGAATGTCGAGCACCTCAAATGTGTCCTCACAGTCCGGATCTGTTGACACCACGCAGTTACCCAGACGTATGGGCTCTCTCAGCACTGTGAACTTTCCACTGCTCTTGTCCTTGATTAGAACCAGCACTCCATCCCGAATGCTCTCTCCACCCCCCTCCCCCTGGTCCCCCCCTGCCCCCAGGTCGGTGCCCTGTCCTGGGGCTTCACTGGGCCGCTGTGTGCTCACCATCAGCAGACTCTGGACATTTTGAAACTTGAGGGCCTTGCTGCCCTTTTTTCATCCACTGACCATCTGGTGGCTGGGACAACTGGAGGGGACCCTCCATGACAAATCGTGTGTTTTCTCTCGCCCAGCCCACGGTCTTCATTGATACCTCTCGCATCTCGATGTTGATGACCTCCCGGTTTTTGCGGCTGTCACGGCGGAATGAGCGGAGGGACCAGGTGACGCCGTTGCCCTCCTGCTTGGTCTTCATGTTGATGTGCTCCAAATGGGATTCTACCCGACTCTTAGCCTCACGGAGACGTGCATAGTCGGGGTGACATTCGGGAGTGACTTTAATGATGCGGCTCAATAGAAGCGGGTATTTAGTCACTCGCTGGAGGGGTGCCATGAGGAAGGAGCGCAAGTTCATACGACGCAGTGCCGTGTTGTCATTCTGGGAAACATCCAGGAAGATTCTGAGAAGACAAAAGAGACAAAATTAAGTTGAAAACAGAGATACTCTGTGCATGTCCTGGGAAAACTTGATTAATGTGAATCAAAAGGCAGCATGACTCATGGCTGAGCTGTGGTTCTGTCTAAAAATATGAATCATTGCAGCTCTACTCTCAAAATAGAACTTCTTTTGAATAAGTGATAACCCACTGTCTTTTCCATTAAGAATTATACAGAAGAGCCGTGGCAAGAACTAGAGAAAGCTCCCAGAGTAACTTTTTCAGCTCACAGGCTAACTGGAAAAAGAATGATGGTATTTGGTGTGTACCTGAGCAGTTCTTTCTCCTTCTCCAGCGTGTTGAGCATGTTGACCGAGGTAGACTGCTGCAGGCAGTAGGTCTGGAAGGCAGGCAGCATGTTGACAAACTCCAGAAAGATCTCTCCTATGTACACAGTCAGCAGATCTTCATCTCCCTGGGGTCAAACCACATGAGACAAAATGTCAATGTTCGACTAATTTACATCTTGCACTTGGAAACAATTGGTTTTAACAAATCGTTGTTTTATTATCGTGTCTCAAAGATCTGCTACCAGTAAAATTCACCAAAATTGTTAAATTTGGCACAAATATTTAATAATAACTTTTATAGCGCCTTTAACGGGACCCAAGGACGCTTTACACATAACTACAGAGACAGCGCAATAAAAGTCATTCAGGGTTGAATGCCTTTATAAAGAGATGGATTTTTAGGAGGTTTTTGAAAGTGTCCAGAGAGGGAGCATTTCGGATATCTGTGGGGATGGAGTTCCAGAGGCAACTTGCTCAAACAAGTAAAAAGACTGTTACAGTAATCTAAATGAGAGGAAATAAAAGCATGAATGATCATCTCCAACTCAACCTTTGACACCAGTGTTCTTAATTCAGTTACAGCATACAGTGGCATTCAGGTGAACAGTGAGGCAGCAGGACTGACAAGGCAAAAGAGCACATCTTATCCATGTTGGCTGTTTTGACCTTGGAAAAAGCATTTGATCAAACAATCTCTCCCCCACCACATTTTTAACATTAAACACTTAATTTCCTGCATTCTGGTGAAATTTTCTTATTGCTTACACTTCATTATGCTCTACTGACCATAAACACACATCCCTCATGTAAAGTTTTGATTGAAGTGTAAGAAATGTGTTAGTATGTGCCTTACCAGCTTACCTTGTTTAGCCCATTAATATTGGTCATGTCAGAAAGGGATTTGACTAGAGCAAAGGCATACATATATTTTATGTATGCTATGTTACCTGTGAGCCATGTAAACAATTTGCCACTGCTGCACAGTCACACCTGACACTGCATTGCTCTCACTACTACCTTTAAAACAGTCTGTCTCTGTTATAAGCCTGAATGGAAACCTCTTCTAGAAAAATCCTCATAAAGTCTGTTAAGACTGCTGCTGGCTGTACATCTCTGGCTGTGATGGTACTGAATTTGGATCAACTGTGCTCGTACTGGTTTATGATCCAGCATCTACTCTACTGACAAATTTAAGCATAGCCCCTGTAAATAATAGATATCTATACTTGCTAGATATTAATGTTATCAACTCATCAGGCCCATACAAACTGGCTCCCGGGTTTCCTTTTATCATTCAATATCGATAATTATCAAGATAAATGTCAATCATGATTTCTATCGAGTTTAAAGGTTATTTTTTGCTCCTTAGTGAAAGCTGAAGAAACCAGATATTGTGGTTTAAACTATTCTTTATGGTCAGACCATGAAAATCACTTAACAGGTGGATCACAAATCTGACAATTATACTGTTGGAATTATTGTTAGGCTATTGTTTTATTGTCCAGCTCTAATTTATATGACTCGAATAAGTGATGTTATAAGTGATATTATTTACTGAAAGATGTAGTCTACATCCATATTGCCCAGTATGCCCCACTAATCAACATTGTAATAGTCAATGTGAATCCACTGCTTTCCATCTTGCATTAGTTCATAGTTGTAACTAAACCTTCACTGAGAGACAGATAATCACTGCCTTGTTTTAAAATGATGTGGGCCTATGAGGAGTGCCATCACATCTGTGTGCTGTCTGGTCTCACTAATGTTGCTGCTGGAATGCAATAAAGTCCGGCTGTGGACTGTAGCACCGCTCAGCCGGATACGCGAGTTTCATTTCGTGCACGCGCGACGTAGTTATCATTTCCATGCTGCAGTTCATAAGCATCACTGACCGTCGGCGTGTATCAAAGGTAATAAATAGTTGTTTTTCACTCTAATATTGTTCAGTCACAGTCTGACAAGCAACCAAGACATAAACAGACCTAGTTGCGCTGCTCTCAGAGTTAAATGCAATTTATACTTCTGCGACGGCGTAGCCCCCACGTAGCCCCTATACCGTCAGTCACCTACGCCGTAGCCTGACGTGCACCTCCTCAAAAATGTAACACTTCGAGGCGACGTGGACCATAAGCCTTCCTTCCGGCAGACTAGACGCATCTGTAGGGTATTGCTGCCCTCCTCTATTCGTTATTCACATTCTTCTTCTTCTTCTTTGGGGTTTTGTGGCGGTTGACATCCAAAGTTTTGCATTACCGCCACCTACTGAATGAAATGGTTTCCCAATTCAATTCAATTTATTCAATTTTATTTATATAGCGCCAAATCACAACAACAGTTATCTCACAGCGCTTTTCATAAAAGAGCAGGTCTAGACCGTACTCCGTCCGTATTTACAGAAGCCCAACAATGCGATATATTTACAGTTACTACCCAATGTTCTCCCCTTCTGTTGTCCGTACATTGTTGGGTTCTATGAGTCAGACTCAATAGTCTGAGATGATGTAAATCCTTCCCTCAGAGTTGTGTCTATTTCTTCCCCTTATATGTCTGCAATGCCTAGGAATCTCCTTGCTGCATCCAGTACCATCTTGATCCTTTCTGACTTGTTCTTAATTTCCACAGCACAGTTAACCACCATAGCAATAAATGCAAGGGGGGTAGTCCTTTCCATGGGGACTGGGCTTGCCTTGCAGCTGAGCTGCAGCTCTTGTCACTGGAAATGTTTTAATAACCTTCCAAACTGTCGCAATTTTATTTTTGTGCTGCTTTCTCTGTGCTGGAGTTATTGTAAGAACTTTATGGTCTTATCCAGTTTGTTATTAAATGTGTAACAAACTTTATCGCGTGTCTCCTCATTATAGCTCCCACACAAAAAAAGCTGCTTTAATGGTCAAGCTATGCCTATAGTTTTTCATTATAATCCAGTCAAATCTGATGTTCATTTATAAATGCTGCTCGTGGATAGTGGTTACAAATGATGATGCCTGTGCATCGCTGTGTACAGCCAGGCCTACAGCCTACGTCAGCTGGTTAATCTGCCTAATCTTTTGCTCTTTGTCTTTAGACCACGGTGGAAACGCACTGAAGGAACCTTTTAGTTCCTTGAAAAGAGATCTGGGGACTTAAAAGTCCCTGGTACTTTTGGTCAAAAAACGCCTATATGTAGTCTAGATAGACCCTCTCAGGTAAATCTCCCACAAAAGTCAGGCACACTGAATTACTTTCCTCCATTTCTCCTTGACGGAATCTTGTCAGTCTTCTCGCCTCACAGACATTTTCAGTGTTCCAAAAGTCCTCGTCTTCCACTGACAGCGGTACGCCACTTATTACTCCTTTCTTTTTGTTTTTTCCCCCCCCGAGTGGGAAGCATTTCAAACAGCTGAAATCTTTATACATTTTAATCCTCAACGCTTGGTCTCTCTGATGCCTTGAAACACAGTCAATGACAACCATCCCACTCCTTGTTATTTTGATGGACCGAACATCTCAACAAACTTTCCAACCTCGTGCGAGTCCTTGAAGATCCCATCCGTTCTTGTCACTGCTATCATTCCTACTTGAAACCTCTCATCTGTTGATGGCTGCCATCACTTGAATCACTATCCTTCTTCCTTTTCCTATTCACAACTCCTCTTGTGTCTTCTTCGTTCTCCACACTCTCCTCTGACTCCATTTTTCGCGCCGGTTCCTTGTTGCTCTCTGTGATTGGTCGGCTGGGTAGCCTCGCAATGCCTCCGAGCCGACCGGAAGTACCCCGCGCTTTGAAGTAACATTTACTAGCGGCCAAAACGGCGGCTTTTGAAATCTAGAAAACCACTTTTTGTCTTTGCTATGGTCCCTCCTATTTTAACTGTTGTGGTAGACATTTCTTCTGCTTGACAGTTAGTAAGATTGATTTTGTTGTTGTATTAAAAATTATAATTGTGACAACTGGGATTCTGTCTCTGTGTGTGCTTGTAAGTAAACCTGTGGGTCACATGTGTGAAAAGCCTCCTTACTTAAGAATACATTATAACTATATACTGTAGGCAGTTGCGCTCTAAAGAAACCATGCCATGTAATGCATTTATAAATATGACCCTGAAGGTAACTTATGTAATACCAGTAGGTGTGCAAAGCTTATAAGAGCATTAAAAATCAGACCACCTTGTTTAAGCCCTTTTTATGTGTGTCAGAGAGAGAGAGAGAGAGAGAGAGAGAGTCACCTGGTCAAAAGCCTGGTCGATGCTGTCCTGCAGATGTTCAGTGAATCGGTCGTTAACATCTATCAGCTCCTGAACGTTACCGAATACCACAGCGAGCTGCTCAGTTGTCAGCAGCCCAGCACTCTGCATGGGGCCATAAAACTCCTCCTTGATGATCCGCAGGTCTTCGCCGTAGCTCGACTCTGTGTTCAGAAACTCCAGGATGGCTTCCTTGCGCTCGGTACGCAACTTGGAGCAACGTTCACACATGCGTTCTCCTCGCTCTTTGGAGGCGCCATCCCTCAGTCCACAGTCTGGACAGGGTCTCTGGGCTTCCCAGGCTCTTAGGGAAGCAGATGGTCTCTTCCAGGTACGGGACAGACCTGGCCCAATGCCGCTGTCCACCCGTTCCACCTCGGCTCCCCGGCTTTTGCGGTAACGACGAGGCTCGCTCTCCTCCTCCTCCCGGTCATCACTAAGCCCCACCACTCCGCTGTCGGCACTCAGACTGCTAATGGTGCTCCAGCGATGCTGCCCGGACCGAGTCACACCAGACCCGCCTGGCGTTCCTCACCAGGGGGCTCTGAGCGACCACGAATTGCTGCTGGAGCTGGGGAGGGAGGTGATGGTCAGATTTATTAGTGCTCATGATGCGCACTCTCTACAGTCTTTGTTATTCACATTGCATGGAGGCACACGCATGCACACACAAAGCATTAATAGCAGCTTCCCTAATGAGCGCCCATTTAATCTGGAGTTGTCATTACTGGTCATGTCAAAATGAAGAAACTATAATTGATATCATCTTTCTCCAATAATTAGATCCCTAACCCTCCAGTCAAGCACTTAACCTTTGTCTGTATGCATGTCAATACTATTGTGCGTGTGTGTGTTTGGAGACAGACAGACTGTATGTGCATGTTTGCTTGGTTGCTAAGGTTTTAAATGTATCATTCAAGCATATGGTTCATTATACAGATTCTATGTTGATTATGTATTAATATTAAACCATTGGTTGATGATTTTGTTTTTGGCACTGAGAAAAAAATCAATTTCTAGTCAGTATCACTTTTATCCACTGGAAAGAGCAACAAAGTCATCATTAGCATATGCCATATTGACTGACACTCTGTGGACAGCGTCCAGTGCCAAAGAGCTTCTGCTGACAGGGAAGAGCACGCTATTAGCAGGGGAGCTCTGTACGTCTGTGTGTTGGTGGGGGAGGTGAGGACTGGTTGCAAAGGCCGACATATCCAGAGACCAGCACGACACAGTTGCATAAGAGATGCTGAAACAATGCTTAATCTTTTTTAAATTGAACAGATTGGAAAATGCCAGGCTTGGTTGGAGGTTCATTCACAAATTAGGAAGCGTCACCTTCCCTGATGAGGTGGGGAGATGTAATAAGGACATGGAGTTCTGTAATTACAGTATCAGTCATAATTACATGTATGAACAGAGTGGGCGGGTGTAGTTCTTCACGGAAGGAAGTATCAAGGCATAACCCCGGATACAA